CCACATTTTCCGTTTTGCTCCAAACTCTCCACAGCTGGGAACATATTCGCCGGCATGCTAGTTACTGGAACTTGCTGCTGCTGACCTGCTGCCGTCGCCATCAACTCCAGATTTGCAAAAACAGCGTTCTCGAAGGAGGATGCTGACCCGTGCCGCGCATGATAAAGCTGTTCGTGGAGAAATGCGGGCGATGCTCCTCTTCCACCCTTCTCATTGCCTATTTCTCCATGTCTTCCTGCACTTTCGCTGTTACATGCATCTGTTCCATCGCCTTGCTTTGATGTCATGGTGGAGAGAAGCGTCGACAGCCCAGCAGCTGCCGCCGGCCCTGTCTTACAAGTACCGTGGAGCGCATGAGAATTTGGGAGGGGGGGGAAAGGCGTGTTATCAAGCGGGAAAGGAGGAGCGACAAGGTCGTTTGTAGGGTACGCATTAGGCTGGCTGTCTGCCATGGAAGAAGGAGAGACACTGTCGACGTAAGGATCTTGTGGCGCTGCGACAGCAGAGCTACGGGCCCAAGACCGCGGCACCGGTAAAGGTTCCAATAGCATGTTCGCGGATGTGTCCGGTCGGTCGCTTTCCTCTTGATTTTCCGCAGGACATTCTGCGCCGTCCCTCTCTCCATGGTCTCCATCACTTGGTGATGTCCTCAGATGACACTGCCTTTCTGTTCCCGCGTTTACTTCCTCGCTATTTACCTCGGGTCGCCTCGGTTGAATTTCCTTCTCCTCCTCCCCATCCTCGCTGTCCGCATTTTCCTCGTCTACTTTCCTACTTAGATTCATAATATCTCCGTTCTGCGAAATATGGCCCGCATTGTGCTGTGTTCCCACATCCATCTCCTGCTCGATGGTCCTTGAACTTCGTCCCTCTGCAGACGCTGCAGCAGCAGCTGCGTACATGTGTAAGGACAAGGGCGGTCCTAAAAACGGTCGAAAATGTCGCTGGGCTTCCTCTAATTGTCGTTTAGACAGAAAGTTATACCGATTTCGAATGGCATATCCTGTTCGACCGTGAAGAAATTTGGCAATTTGTGACCACTTGTTCCCAATCTGGATCTGATATTGCATAATCGCATTATCTTCCTCCTCCGTCCAGGGTTCACGGGTGATGGATGGCTTGAGCACGTAGTGCCAGCGTTGATGACATTGCTTTGCATTGCGGTTCTTGAAATGGGTTGATATAATGCCCCATTTCCGAGGGCCCACCGTTCGGACCAGCTCCTTCAGCCGCCGGTCCTCCTCTCCCGTCCAGGTGTGCCGCTTGTTTGGGTCATGCATCCCAGAATGCGAGCCGTGGGGCAAGTGCGGATGCCGTTGAAGGAAGAGCGGGGAGAGACCTAGCCCACGGAGTCCAAGAAAAGGCTGTGCTCCCTGATGGGGGGGATGTTGGGGATGGTGCAAGTGCAGAGGGTAGGGTGGTGGTGGCATACTTGGAGGAAGGGGGGAGGGAAATTGGTAAGCCTCTGAATCACTGGAGATGGCAGCAGCGGTCTGTGCATTGGATTGATGAAACCAATCAATATGGGGTGACGAAGAAGGCAAAGGTAATGGCAGTGAAGTTGAAGTAGGCTGTTGCTCCATCCTACAAATGAAAGGCTCTTGATGGCTAGAAGACTGGAGGCAGTTTTGCGAAGCCATAGGTGCGGAGGCTATATTCCCAGAATGTCCCGTAAATTTATCGCTTTGAGCTTCTGCGTCCTCTTCTAAGTCGCTTATGTCCACTTCCTCTTGATCAACGGTAAGATGCGCGGAGTAGCGGGCTTGGGGGCCGGGATTTTCTTGTAACCCCGTCGGCATGTGGGAAAATTCTACAAAGTTACCACAAAATTCACAATCTGATGTTTGTATTTTGAAAAATATATGTGTATCAAGAAAATTATTCGTGAGCACAAGTATATAATGTGGAGGGCACGAACGCAGAGAGGGAAGGTGAAGAGCTCGAAAAGAGAAAATATAGTAAAGATGCAAACATGCCATTTTTGAAAAGTAGACCCGGCACACGGAAATACCAGATGCAATAGACTTTTAACTATTAAGGTTACAATCATTGGTTTGAGCGGGTGCACGATTTTGGCGCACGAACAAACTTCAGTAGTAGTCCGAAAAGGAAAGGATGTTGCAGACCTTCCCATGTTCAAGACGACCGTTGAGAAGCCGTTCGCTAGCCGTTTCTCGTCCATCCAGTACGAACTCTTTTTTGTAATAACTATCACAGGGCGTGCAGGATCTTACGCATGGTAGCATGTTCATGTTGGCATGCATATCATATACATTATTTTAAGCAGGGATTGGGCAAATATGAACTTTAAAATGAACAAGAAGGAGCATAAGAAAAGAAAAAGATCAAATCATTCTTCACTGAACACGACTTCAACCTTGCACGAAGACTGTCAACTGACCAATTTGCTATTCAAATTTGACTGCTTATACGCATCAATGAAGCCGTGAAATTACTTCTAGAGCTGTGTTGATGGCGAAGCCGATCTCTTACAGTCTACCAAACGAACAGATATTTCGCATTGCTTTTGAGATAGTCAGAGCTATTTATCCCACATTTATATAGCTCACAAAGGTCCTCCACATCCCAGTACATAACTACATCAATCTCGTTTCGCGACGTTATGGAGGTACAGCAATGTCATACTCTCAAACTCCAAACTATTGGCACATGCACGGACTGTACGACCGGGCATTTCGTAATGTCCATTCCCTAAACATGTCCAATCACTATTAAATGTTCTAGTGACAATCTAATATATCCATTTCTACAGAAATTTCTACAGAAATGTGGCATTTTTCGGTCCTACGCCTTCAATCATTTCTTTAATGTCAGCAGACCGGAAATCAGAAGACTACGTCTCCTTTAATGGTCGTCCGGTACAAAGTGCGAGGCAGCTCGGAGCCCGTGGCTGTGTATGTGAGGCATATTGGTAAGCAAGGTGTTGATGTTGTTAACGTTATCTCTGTTCCCCAAAATCTTGTCTCTTACCGAAATGTAAAAGCATCCGGTTATCCCAAAAGACCATGTCGCCTTTTTTCCATTTGTGGCGGTACACAAATTTTTCCTGACTCGTGTGATCGAAAAGCCAATCCAACAAGGCCTGGCCCTCGGCCTCCTCCATGCCCTCAATGCCAGTGGTGAACCCTTCGCTTACAAAAAGCGACTTTCGACCCGTCTCTGGATGCGTCCTCACCACGGGATGGGACATCGCCGGCAAATTTTCAAGTACTGCCCTAGCGGAAGCATCCATGGCGCTATACGCTTCCTTAGATAGGTTCTTATGGAATAGATGGAGGGCCTGGAGGGATAGGAGCTCGCTCTGCTTCTCCGAAGGAAGGCCTTCGTAGGCTTGAACCATGTCAGCGAAAAGGGTGTCCCCGCTACCGTCAGCGGGCAGCACTTTGACGTGCAGCATAGAGCCCATGGGGGGCGCGGCCTGGAAAGGTGGTAGAAGATGATTGGAATAGACAGAAATATGTGATGCTTGTAGAGGATTTTGAGTTGCTGTGCGTTCTCAAGAGAATTCCAAGCAAATGTTAAATTTAAATTTAATTACGAAGGATTAAGCCAGTTACCTACCATGTAAGACAAATCGCTGTGCCAGTAATGCCTCCGACCGTTCCGACTTTGACTTTCCTCGATTCCATTTATGCCCTTCTTCTTTCCTGCTTCATCAACCTCATTAGAAACCACCACAATATCCTCCGCGCCTGGCAGGCGGGCTTCGTCTAGTGCATGTTGATACAACGTACCAAAATAACGGGAAAATTCTACGTGCTTCTCTGGTGTAAGATCGTCTTGGTCACGGAAAACGAGGACCTGTGTTGGAGCAAAGCGAGGTGAGATGAGCCGACTTTTGAGGCAAGAGCCTGGAAGATTTCAATGCTCGAATGTTCCAATGCATTTCAGGTATCGATGACTTTGTCATATTCTTCAATGGAGATTCGCAGACGGTAAATTGTTAATAAGAGTATGAAAATCTGTCCCAAAATACTTCGAGGAGCGATCGCACCCAGGAGAGTACCATTATTACCTTGTGGGCCAGAAGAGCTTTGCGCACCACATTGACGATGGGCGCCATGGGCTTGTTGACAAGATCCATCTTCAGCACCTCGGCACCAAAAGATTGACCGAGTAGAGGCCTGATTTCTAGCCCAACTGCCAATGCCTCCTCAGCCAGGGTGGGGTGCAGCACAGGGGAGGAGCAGCAGTCGTGGGAAAGAGGTGCTGGCAGTCCACTGTCAGAAATATCAGAAGACGTGCCCACTTGACAGTGTACTACCGACTTTGTCGTGTGAGGTGCCATATTGTTTCCTGTATTTAGTTAGTATGGATTTGAGATTAAAGGAGTCATGATTGACGTAGAGTCATTGTGTCGACACTCCTCCTGAAATCGAGTGGGGCACTGTGTAACCCCTGCAATACAGCGGAAACCAGAAGTCAAACGATGAAAAGTTGGCTTTAACAACTGAAAGCGCGATTTCGGCCAACAACATGTGTTGGCATTGAGCACTTTTAACAATTTAAAGACCGAGGCAATAACCGGGGCTTGAGTATCTCCCAAGGAGGGATCGTTGTCACAAGTGTCGCATTTCGTCCTTTTTCCTTTTCCCGGAATTTTCCGTTTTTTCCCTTTTTTCCCCGTCGACACTTTTTTTCGACACACTTGCCAATCTTTCGTTTGTGCGAACCGAGTCGAAGTGTTTTGAGGCTCAGGAAATTCAGGTGGAACATAAAACCTACTCACTTTGACACCTAGAGCCCGACACTTCCAATTGAAGTGTTCATAAAATCTCCGGTCGTCTGCTTGATGGTATCGTCTTCGTATCGCTTCCGAACAACAACGTACCGAGCACATTGCTGTCATATGCAGCTATGATGCATCCGCAAGAATGAAGGGAAGACTCTCTCGTACACCAAAAGGTCTTCGATTGAGATATAAAGAAAACAAACACTTAGACGCGAGCCCAATTAAAAAAATGGTGGGCCTGTTGCTCAGGTGGAAGGGTTTTAATTTCATACCAATCGCTGATACGAACTTGGTGAAAAGCTTTTCGCTTCCTTTGGGGGTAAAACACAGTCGGTTGATATTCTATCAGTGATCTCACTCTATTCACAAACTTTTTCAAAACGGGCGTGAACCCAAACGCGCCTCCGTGTTGCAGCATCCGCACGGTTTATATATTGTCGTCTCACATAGCCTGCTTCAATTTCCCTGAAGCCTCCCTCCTTCCCACAGAACATTTTTCTCAGGTCTTCAACGCTGAAATAATACGCCCGCGTCCCGTCTGAACGTAGATAAAAATTCTCGCCCAGGCGATGTCCTCGTTTGAAGCGTAGCTGTGCTTCGTCCCACCGGCCGTAGTCACGAATAAGAACGCGTCCACCAGGCTTCAAGGCAGCCCAAATTTTATGGGCCACAAGGTGGATTTTGTCGGGAGCCATGGCTGAAAGTGCATACATGCAAAGGCACAGATCGGCCTGCCCCCCGTTTCGCGTAAGAAAGGGAGGGAGGGAGGGCGTGTCCACAACGTCTTGCACCCATGCGAAGCATCGACGACTGTTCTTATAAACAGGGTGGTTTTTGAGGATGGCGACAGCCCGAGGAGAAAAGTCGAAGGCGTAGATGAAAAGGTTGGGGTCACGCGCGAGGAGTGGGAAGACAGCGTTCCCGACGCCGCAGCCAAGCTCGATGAGGACGCGCTGATGGGCTGCAGGCTTGTCAAGTCCTGATTCTCCCCCGAATGCCTCAGCTGAAGCGTAGTGTGCCACCTCCGAACCTAAACTCTGCCTGCGGTCGGGGAGGGATGGGACGCTTGCGGGCAAGGAAGACGAGGCAGGTAGGCGACCCTGTGATGAAGGTGATGGCTGGTGGCTGATCGAGAGGGGTAGTGGACTTGCTACGTCCATGTTCTTCATTTCTAGATTTCCCCCGTAATTTGGTCTGTCTGCTGTTCTTTTTTCACACGCTTCCTCATTGTAAAGGACGGGGGGGACCAGATCCGGGAAGTCTCTCCACAAATAGTGTCGATCTTTGAAAAAACGGTCGCGATTGTTCTTGTAAAACGTGTCCCAGTACTTTCCCGCCAACGTCTCGTATCTTTTGACCCTGTGGGGAGGTAGAAGGGATCCTTGCTGCGTGGCGCAATACATGGCGGCGGCCGCTTCATCTCCTTCTGTTCTGATGTCCTCCGCCCACACTAGATCTGGATGGTCAGCGAGGGATTCACCCGGAGGGAGGAGCGGAGCGGGCTGGATATCCAATGAGGGTTGAGAAAACCTTGATTGCGGAGCCATGTTCTTTTGTGTGTTATCGGACGGGTAGGATAAGAGCAGGCGAGTGCCTTCGTCGATGTGCCAGTCTAGGCGGGATGGTGACTCTGGAAGGCGGCGGGGCGTGTGCGAGGAGGAGGAGGCGAGATGCTCAAGCGCGTGCCAACAGCCGGCGTTGGTTGCAATTTCGTCGAAACTATCATATAAATATGCCATGGGGCACAGCACAGCTGAGTTTTGCCAGTTCAATGCAGTTGGCGCATAGTAGGCGCTTTGCTGTGTGGTGGCGAATGGGGAGGTTGAGTATTTCGCGGAGGGCGGTGACCATGAGAAATTCGTCGCAATCCCTCACACGTCAAAGCCAACGATGAAAAATTGTATACATGCGTATATATATTTAGTCTGTTGATTGATTGCATGGTGCGAAAGAAGCGATGCAGAGTATCCATTCATACGGCCGTGTACTTAGCAACAGACGGCACTCTCTCGCCTGTCGCGTCGCTGACTTTCCATAGGAGGAGGTTGTCATGTCCTACACCAGTCGTTAACTCACCCTTTACTTACCTTTTTGGCCATGCAGAGCATGCTACAGGATGTTGACGACGACCCAGACTTGAACAGGTTGTTGAACAATGCACTGGAGTCCTCTGAAGACATAGAAGTCCTCCAAGAGCTGGGCCAACTAATAGAAGCTCGTTTAACGGACGCTGCAACGTTTTCCCCTACTGTCCATCGGCTTTGGGAAAATTTCGTCACCACCTCCCTAGAAAATGGGGCCGAAAAGAAAGAGAAAGACAACATGGCCAAAGCTAAGGTGTTGCATTCTTTGGGATGGGACCTCTTTGTAGCTCTCACACCTTGGGCCAGGGGCGAGGGCGATGGGAAACAGAGTCTAGAAGCCCCTTCTCCCTCCTTTTCGTCCTCCACCTCTTCCTCCATCATATCCCCTTTCTTGATCCCTCTAATGAATGCCATCCTTGCTAGTCATACGGGCCGGGAGCGATTGATCATACTGCAAGAAGCGATGTCGCAAGTTCCACACCGCACCCATCCTTCTTTTGTCCCTTGGTTGATAGAACAAATGCCCTCCGCGCATGCGATGATTACCGGTCCTAAACGAGTGTACTTTATTGAAACTATGTGTCGAATGTGGCACGAGCAAGTTGGAAAAGCATGGGAGGCAATGGAGCAAAATGGAAGCGATGAGGAGGACGACATGGATCAGGACGCTATGGACAAGGAAAATGTGGCGCAAATGACGAAGCTTGAAGCTCATGCTGTCCTAATGGCTGTGCTAGCAGCCATGCAAAATACTCTGACAGATTTGCCAGCTAGGACCGAGGCAGGAAAGGAGAAGTTGAGTGGATTACAGGAAGAAGCAGCTCTTTCAGGAATTTGCGCGGCGTACGTGGTCGGCCTTCTCTTGTCGCTGCTAGCCAGAGCGCCACCCGTGCCTCCGCCCCTCCCTCCACTCTCCCACCCAATGCCCCTTGCTGCTACTACGGATGCCAACTTCGATGTGGGGAGCAGGAGATCGCAAGGGGAGGAGTGCGTGTGGACCCGGCATCTGGTTGTCCTCCTTGCCCAGGCGCTGTCTTCCCCCTGGTGTAGCTTCCAGGACCTGCTCCGACACCATCGCGGGTTGCACGAAGGCCCTGGACCGAGGCCTCGACGTGAGGAGGGTAGGGTGCGTGGGGAGGAGGGGAAGGAGGGCAAGGGCGGGGCGGAGGGGCGGCCGGCACTCTCGCCCTCCCTTACCGTCGCCTCCACTCCCTTTGCCTGGGAACCCTTGGGGCTAAGTCTAGCCACATACCACCTGATCGTACATCCTCCCTCCCTTCCTGCCCCTGTCGTGCCCCGCGTCCTCCACCCCCTTTATCTCGCTCCATTACTTGCCCTTCCTGCGGCACGCCTGCTCCAAAACCCCTCAAACGCTTCTTGCGGCCTCGCTCTCCTTGAACGTGGGCCCCTTCCAATACTCGGACCTTCTGTACAAGGAGAGACGGAAATGAGACGAGGATGGGAGGGAGGAGAAGGGCGGTTGCATTGTCGGGCGCGCCCTGGCTCTGAAGCCAGTGGGGCGGGAGCCGATACAGAGAACACCGGCCGTGGGACGCCGTCTTCGG